AATGACCACATATATACACACTAAGTGAGACATGTGTGCGTGTCTTTGTGTGTGTGACGTCAGTGATTTTCTCACTCTTTCTTCTCTCATTCTAATTACTCCTTCCTCCCTTCACATTTTTTTCCTCCCTTGTTATCTTAGGAAACGCCCTTTAGTCTAGTGGTGTGATTATTCTCGTCCAATGAAATGCCTGCAAATCCCATGACGTCACATCACTTTTCCGCTCAATTCACTTTGCAAGAAACAACACCAAGTAGACGTCCTTTTTTTTGCTTTCCCAAATTTCAAGAAAAACTCATTTTATTCAAGTGAAATTGAAACGAAATCAAATGTAAGCCAGAATTTTTAGATCGATTTTCAAATAATCGAAATTTCACAAATGTTTTCATCAAAACAACGAAAATTTCTACTTTTATTTTCTCTTCTTTTTTAACCGCATTCATATTTAGAGACAAACTTTTTATCTTTTATTTTTTTCTCTCTCCTTATAATTTAAAAAAAAATGTCTGATCCGAATTTTGTGTTAAAATAAATTCGTTTTTAGTTAATATTTCGGATAAATTCTTTGCAATGATATCAGAAAGATTAAAGATGACTTTTATTTCTGTTTATTTATGTCGTCTGCTTATTTCTTTCCTCCTTCTTTATTTTGATTGTAGACAATTTGTAATATTTCTTAAAACTTTATTCACTTCTTGGCACTACTTAAATATATTGGTCCATTTTTATAAAAATGGAGAACATTTTTGTGGGGAGAGAATTATTTTTTGTAGATTAAAAATCATTGGATTTTCTTCAAACGACGACGACATTTTTCAGAATCTAAAAATGTTTCATTATTTTTTAGATTTATAAAGTGAGGGTCTTGTTCATGATATCAATATCGAATAAAATCGATCCCTAGCTTTGGAAGAATTATTTGACTTAAATTCTTATTTACAAACTTATTTTTCGCTTCTTTTTTGGGGGAGGGGGAATATTTTTTTTATCTTAAATGAAGAAGAGTAAACGAATTTAATTTATGTGACTTTTTTTTTCATACAAAACTTGTGTTTATTTTTTTTCTTTAAACTAGGTATCTCCAATATTTCGGCATGAATTTTCTATATTTAAGTTTAAAATGAATTTTTTACAACAAAAAAACATTCTTGAAGATTTTATTTTAGCTTTAAAAAGTTTAATAATTAAATTTATGATTTCCATTAATTAAACAATTCTGGTGAATTTCAGATAGAAACTATATACATTTGATTGTCAAATTTAATTTCAAATTTTTAAATTTTCTTAAAAACGGCCATTTTCTTAATTTTAAGAAATTTGTAAACAAACACAAATTTATCGATTTTTAAAATATTTAAAAAAAATTCTGACAAGTTATTTTAGTAAAATTAAAAAATTTAAAGTTAAAGTAATCTGATTTGAAAGAAATCTTTCTTACTTATAGCATAAAAAATAAAATACAACCAATTATTAACGAGCGGTCCTGTTCATCTGTTCGATCTATTGATGATGGTTGATTGACGAGCCATGACAGCTACTACTGATGACCATAAATGACATAATTTTTAAGTCTGAGTTTTTAAAATAATTATTCTATTTTATTATGACACACACTTACTTATGGAAATACAATGCATAAAAAAATTATTTAGTGAAATAGTAAATGAAAAAAAGAAAAATTAGTTTAAAATTTAAAGTTTACACTTTTAAAGCTGAACGGAAAATACAACCTGTAAGAAAGGAAATGTTTTGAAAAGGCCACGTAAAGGGACAAAACCCTTAGATCACGTGACCTTGTTATAATAATGGCAATTTCTGTATATCATACATGGAAATAAGGAATGTATTAAGTCAAAAAATACAACATAAAAAATTATTTTTTTAAAAAGTAGCGCAACTAAATTTATTAAACTTAGCAATTTGGGACTCGTAAATTTTTTTTCTACTTAATTACTACATCACCTCGAGGAACCCTCCTAATACAGAGCTTTACACGATTTTAAACTATTACTATTATTATAATTAAAATTTCTTAAAAAACGAAAAAATTCTTGTAAAAATTAATTATTCATCAGAAAAAAATTATTTCTTCAGACAATAATGTCCTTAATATTACTTATTTACAAAAGCAATTAAAAGCTTTTCTAATTAAGTAATATCATAGTTTAATTGGATTCATTATTGTTCAATTCAGAGCAGATTTTCAGTTAAATAGCTCAAATTTGTGAAAGAAAAGTAGATTATTTACCATCTTCGAAGACTCCTGCTTTTAAAAAAAAAAAAAAAAAATTCAGGAATCAAAAAGGTTTGGGGCGAAATTTCATTAAATTAAGTAAATGTGGGATAACATATTTTAAAAAATTATATTTTTTACCAAAATTTTCTAAAAAAAAATCTTTCAAAAATAATTTCATTGATTTGTGAATAAGTCCTGAAAATTTCATTAAAATCTGACAATTACTTGATTTTTACAAAAATTTCCAAATCAATGTTTTCAACGGGAAAAAAGTCGCCAAAAAAAAACAATGTTATTTTCTGTGACGCCGCGATGACGTAAAACAAAAGAAGAATTTAACCAAAATTTCGAACGTGTTAGAAAGAATTAAAAAATTTAAAAAAATAATTAAAAAATACTTTGGTCTTTCATCTTAACATAAGCATTTTGACGATAAAACTTTATTTTAGTTAAGTTTGTGGCATTTTTCATTACGCTATATGCTGTTTTCCCGCGAAAACAGTGAACATGCTTACATTTTAAACGAAGTTTTTCATAAAAAATTGAACTTTTTTAGAAAAATCAGGGATCGATTTTACATTTTAATGATATTATATACAGGACCCCCTTCATCTAAAAAAACAAAAAACATTTCCGTTTCTGTCAATCGTCATGGCTTTGAAAGTCTAATAAATGTTAATCTACAAAAATATTTCACAGGCCCCCAAAAAATGACCCCATTTAAAAAAAAAATATTTTAATGAGTGGATCAGTTTAAATGGATTAAATTTTGTCATAAGAAAAATGAATTGTTTCGTAGCAGACGATAAAAATCCGCCATTTTGAAATTTCTTAAATCGTGTCCAGTGAAAGAAAGAGTGAAGCAATTAATTAACATCTGAATGTTAAAAGTCATTGTGAAGACAACAAATTGGAGCTTTTCTCTCTCTCTTACTTTTACCCTTTCTTTCTTTCCCTTTCTCGAATTGGTTTTCTCTCTCTCTCACTTCTGCATCGATAACCACTCTCTCCTTTGTTTCTTTCGATTTCTCTCACTTTTTCACTCACTCCGATACACTCTATATTTCCTTCTCCCACTCTCTCTATATTTTATTTTTCTCTCTCACTCTCACTATTCCCCGTTACCCACTCTTTCATTTTTTATTCTCTTTTCTCTTAACCCCCTCCCCGCCTTTATTTATTTGTGATTTTAGAAGAAAACTAAAATTTTTCAGGAAATCGATTTGTTTTTCTTGTAAAATCTAAAAATTTCGTTTCATTTTTTTTTCTGTTTTAAAAATCGACTTTTTATGATTTTGAACTTTGACCTTTTTTTTTTATTTTCTATAAAAAGATTTTTTTTTCTTTCGTATTTTCAGATTTCATTTTTCCAGAAGGAAATCAAAAAAATGGCTTCGTCTTTGAGGAACGACATAAAAGAATCGAAAAAGCACCTCGTCGATTTGCAGGAAGATGTTGAAGAATTCGAAAAGCGGCTCCGTCGAGGGATTGAACGGACGAAGAAATCGATTGAACAATTATCAATCGATTGCGAATTGAATTGCTCCAAAGTCTGGCAGGAATTCGATGAATTTCGGAAAGAGACAAGGATGAAGGCCGAAGAATTGTGCGGCCAAATGAGAGAAAAGACAAGCGAAAAAGAAAGGAAATGGCGCCAATCCCTCGAAGAGAAAGAAAGACTTTCATTAAGCGACGACGAAGAAGTTGTTTCTAATGTACGATCGCTGGGAGCGGAGCTTTCAGGGCGGCTCCACGAATCGTTCACTCCTGTTGAGGAAGGTCATTTTGTTATGACCTTTCCAGCATGGTGCCAACGATCATTGGACCAACTTCAAGAAGAAATCGTCGACTTTAAGACGGTAAAGACATGGCCCCCAAGGGAATTGGAACTTGAAAGCGAATTCCGCCTTCGGGGTTCGAACCTGCGGTGGATTGAATCGATTGCCGCCAGCGAAGAAGACGGTCACGTGTTTGTTGTCGATGGGGGCGACGATTCGATCAAGGAATTCGGTGAGACTGGGGAATTCGTCGGCCAATGTCCCTTGAGGGACGAAGGATTCTTTCCCTGGGACATTTGTTGTCTTTCCCAAGACAATTTCGTTGTTTGTGGGTGGGGGTGGGGGGAGGGGGGGGGGGGGGAGGTGTTTTGTTTTTGGCGCGAAGAAAAAATCCGCCATTTTTAGAAAAAGAAAAAAAAATGAAAACAAAAGAAAATCGATTTTATTCTTTGTGTCAAACGAACGAAAAAATTTTCGTTTGTGATTCGAATTTTAAAGAAATTTTTTGTTATTCTAAAGAAGGAAATGAAATCAAAAGAATCCAACTTGAAAAATCGCTGGGGTCGGGTTTTCTCCCCCTCCTTCGTGCCGATCCCTGGACCGGGAATTTGTGGGGGACAAAACAAGGAATGTTGGAATTCTTCGTTTGGAATAAAAATGGCCAAATTCTTCAAATCGTCGAAACTGAAAAAGAAATTCTCGATTTTTGTGCCGACAAATTTGGTTATTTTTATTATTGCAACAAGAAAGGAATTTTTTCTGTCTTACCAGAAAAAGTTCTGTACAAATTTCCGAAAAAATCTGAATTTTGTCCGAAGATTTTTGTGTCTGGAAAAAAATTGTTTGTTCTTTTTAAAAACGACGGAGAAAAATTAATTAAAATTTTAAAAATTAATTAAAAAAAAACTTTAAATTTTTCGTGAGTTTAACAAATAAAGTTTATTTTAATTAAAATTCTTTTTTTTTATTTCATGTAAAATTTTGAAAATTAAAAAATTAATTTTAATTAAAATTCTTTTTTGATTTATTCACATCAAAAAGAATTTTGATGTGAATAAATTTTCGTCTCTAAATTTTTGTAAATGTTTTTAATGATTTCCCAATATGAGTTCAGGTAAATAAGACAGAATAATGTTCATTTTTCGTAATATGAGTCGAGGTAAATAAATCTTTAAAAGAATGTTTAATAATTTTATGAAAAAAAACAATGAATTTTACAAGATTTTTTCATTTGTTGTCATTTTTTTTTTGTTTCTCCGACCATCAAAAGTTGACAAAAAATGTGAAATTGAATTTGATGGAATTTAAGATTAAAAAAAATCGATTAAAATTGATCGATTTTTTATTTATTTATTTAATTTTTTCTTACCGAAGAATTTCCTGAAATTTTTCCTTTTTTTCGTCTGATAACAATATGAGGTGAGTGAAATAATTAAAAATATTTTCTTTCTTCAGGGTTGGGTGGGGGGTCATATTGATGCCGCAGGGTAAGGAAAGATTCTTTTTAAAAAAAGACATTTCATGGGTCCCAACTGCAAGAGGAGATACATAGAAAAGGGTGTGGCCCGTCTTTACCGGACGGAAAATGACGTCCAGAGGAAGGGGTGAAAAACAACAATCATCATCATCAAAACTCACTGAACGTGACTGACGGGAATTGAATAATACCCTTCCGATTTTGAATAATAGTCAGTCTATGCGTGATATAAGAATTATGCTCTTTTTGTACATCCATACCAAAAATGAATTAACCGTTGTCCAATCTGAAAGAAAATTATTTGTTTTATTAAATTTATGCAAGAATTGATATGAAACATAATTCAAAAAAATATTTCCTAAAACTTTAATGAAATCTTTTGCCTGATTTGTGGCAAAATTTTAAAAGCGATTTTTTGCTTTCATTTTAGAATAAAAAATCCATTTTGGTTGTACGCATTCTATAAACAAAATATTAAACTGCATCAAATCGGCTGGTATTATGTCGAGGAGATTGAACACTAAGAATGGAAACTCACCAGTCTTTGGAGCTTCGATAATTTTCAGGGAGAAGACATTTGCTTCTGCTTGGAATTTATATATATATATATATATATATATATATAATGATAGACTTAATTGGTAATCCGTATGGATAATTCCAGGTGAGGGGGATGTATATCCCGAGAGAAAGTAAGAATTAATTAACAAACCGGAGACTTCAGTAAGTAAGTAAATAATAATAATAATAATGACAATGTAATAAATAAAATAATTAAATCGAATCATAATTAAATAAAATTACTGAAAATAAAAATATATTTAGGACATCACGTGACCTCATCTCAACCAAATGGAAAGATTCGCATTTTGTATCCCGACATGTTTTGTTCGTCTTTTTTTTTCTTTCGTGTCGTTACCTGCTAAAATGAAATAAATAAAGGTTCTTCAAATATGGTACCAAGACGCCTGAAATGATTTGTTTGCTCTTTTCGTAAAGATTTCTTCAAAATTGCTGGATTGAAAAGGATAAACATTGAAGACTCACCAATGACCAGCAAAACGCCAGGGAATTATTAAAAAAAAATGTTTCACTCATCCAAAAATTGTCTTAATTCTCTTCCTTGACTGCAATCAGTTATGGAGTCAGCCAGGAGGTCCTCACGATAAACCTGAACAGGAGAGAATTTCATAAAATCACTTTATTTATTTTCTTCTTACTCTGTTGTCTATGTCTCGGGATATTTTCTCCTTTTCTGATTGAATACTAATCAATTATTTCTTGCGATGTTTCCACTGAGTCTAAGCCATCAATATTTAATCCAACGATTGACCTCACATTTTCTATGACAACAGATTCATGAAGCAACGATTTATCCACAAGGATATTGTTACAAAATGTCGGGATTATAACAACAAAGATGTCAATAATGATAAGTCGGCATCGTAGAAATTGAGAGAGAAAAGCATTTTGTTGTCGCAGATTTCGTCGCCTAATTACTGAGCCTCAATGACGGATGGAAGAGAAACCAGAATCAACGTGTATTTTCCAAAGAGAATTATTTTCATGTGCATGGTGTCCGAATAGACATGTTTTTGGTGAAAGAATGTTTTTAATCCTAATCTTTTTCCAGTACAATGATCAGGACCGACTCAAGGTAGCGGATTACTATTAAAAGGGAAATGATGGATAAAATGTGTTTAATGCAAGATGGGGAGGGAAATTAAATATGATGGGAACAAGATGTCGGCATGGAACTTCTTCCTTACAGTTGGAATATGACGGAAATGAGAATAATTTGATTCTGTGAAACTAGCATGGCATGTCCTAGCCCTAAAGCTATGAACTTGTGGAACTAAAGAATGGAGCGCTCATCTGAACATTGGTCATGGAAATAACGACAGGTAAACAATTTTGAATTTAGTTGAATTGGCTAGATCCAACCGTAAGTTCTATGCTAAGAGTTTCTTTTCTCGCACTTTCTTTCTCTTCCATGCTTTACGGTCAACTTTGATCTTCTAAAATTTAAATACAATGTCAATCGTCATCTACTGACTTCCTGATTACTTTTTTATTGTTTTCACTTCTTGATAATGTTTCTTTTTTTCTAATTCTTTCATAGCCGGTAAACCATTGTGTCTTAGTGGCTTTACTGCGTTGCTTGGTGTAAATTCAATTAAAAAAAAGAGAATTAAGGCAGAGAAGTAGGGATTGTGCAGTTTCAAGCCAAATATGGCATCAATAATCTGTTTCTGGTCTAATCTAACACTTTTAAAGATAAAACATGGCAGGAGGAGTCTGATACTTCCTGGAGAGACAGAATGAACAGACCATTCTTCCAAAATCTTTACCAAGGTAACATACGAGTCTAATCTTGACTTTTAAGCAGATGCTTAAGGGACAGGATCAGTTGGGAAGAGGTAAACTTCTCGTCCCCATGGAATTCCTTCTATCGCGTTGTACATATCACGACTCGCATAACACCCAGTAAGCAAAAGAACACATAGTGCTCAGCCTTAGTCAACGGTGGTACGATATTGCTACAAACGGAGCTGGCCTCGAGGACAAAAAACTTTCCGTGCAGAATACGAACCATGATGTCAGCGAACGCAGTTTGGAAACTTTACCAAACCCGTCGAACAAAGTCTTTTGTCGGCCTAGAGGCCTCCTTGAACTACCAGCCGGGTGAGTGATGCCTCAGCATTAGTAGACATTTCAACCCGGAAGCCCCTGGCCATAATCAGCGAGCTTCCGGTTTCGTCCGACCGAGATCGCCTATCAAATAATCCTGAACGCCTTCAAACCTCATATAATGCCTTAAGGGACAACGGCTGGATATCGGAGAGGCCATCCGTCGCCCCTAAGAGGTACTTGAGTGCAAGCCGACATTCGCGATGGAAGGAGCACTCGTGTTTGTGTAATCTGCAGGCTCCTCGTCGCACGAGCGTACACTTCTAAAGGATGGAAAGTTCTTGCGGGCGTCTTCCTTCCAGAATTCGCCATTCACATCCGATCTAGGTAAGAAATGCGACGCGTATGTTGACAAATCTCAACACAAAGCACCCCTGAGACCCGCCCTTAGAAGGGTGGAGGCAACAGATCTCGCGGTTCACCTTGGTAGACTTGCCTCCCCACAAGTAGGAGAACAAGAGCCATACGAATGCTAATAAAGTGTTAGTGAAATTAGGGAGAATCGTTAAAGGGGAATCGAGTAGATGTACGAGACACATACTTCCGCCCTTCGCTTCAACATTCCTCCGGGACCAGAGACGAACCTCCAACCAGTTCATTTCCAACAGGATATCGGAACTGAACCAGACGCCGGCCCGTCCGTCCTGAGGAAAGATCCGGAAGAGAGATTTCCCTCCACAAACACAACCGCAAGCCAACAGATTTATCGCTGTTGATCTTGGCCCCTGTCACCATCTCACAGCCTCTGATTTCTATGCTGACTTCGTTAATTTCGGCCATGCTCGACACAAGAACCGATTTTGTCTCTTTTTTTGTTGTTTGTGGTCTTTAATAACAATGTCTGGGCGGTTGGCTTTGATTGTTCTGTCAGTGTGTATTATGTAGTCCCATAGAATTGTAACAGGTCCTATCTCCGTAACCGGGTCTGGGTGGTGTTCATACCATTTTCTTTCAGTTTCCTTCCCGTAGAATTTGAAGATTTTCCGGTGCAGATCTGTATCTGGTCGGTTGCATTTGTCTTTGCTGTCTTTTTTACCTTCTCCTTCATTTAGGGGGGTGTATGTCATCTCCTTCGCTAATTCCTAGGTACTTATAAGCTTCATCATGCTTCAGTTCCCTAATCTTTGTGACAAAATCTTAATCTATTAAGAGTGTTTCTGCAATTCTACCTTTCTTGGATGTTACTTTTGCATATTTATTATTATTATTATTATTATTATTACTTCCCTTGATTTCTTTCCATGTCCTGAACAGACACCTCTGGTCAGAAATAGCATCATGGAATTTTCCATTTAAAAAAAAAACAATCATACGTTTACTTGGATTTTTATTCCTGCTATATAAATTCTAGATTTCAACTTCTATTAATTAAATATTAAATCATCTTTACTCATTAATATATTGTTATGTCTATGGTTTCAGACTATATGTTGTATTATATATATATATATATATATATATATATATATATATATATATATATATCTGTATGAGATTTTAGAAGTAATTCCTTGTTAGTTTTCATGGAAATTGCAAGAATATACGTACAAATTTCATTTGTATTCATCGACATTTTCATTCTACTTACAATGAATTCCGTCTTGTATTTCCATCGAGTTGGATTCATTTTATTTCACTTTTTATTTCATTTTGTAAATTTTACATTAAACAAATCTTTCCGAATTTATCTTCGAGTTTTCTACATAATTCATTAATTTTTTTCTTTCGATTTCGAAAAAAGAAAATTAAATCGATTCCAACAAATAAAACACACATATGCTTTATGACATAAATTATAAAACAAACTTTTATATAAATTCAAACTTAATTCAACATTTTCTTTTTATTAACATAACATATTTGATGGAATTAAATTCGATTTTATTAATATTTATCACAAAAAAAAAAGAAAATTCCTCCCACCACTACATCATGCAACCTTTCTTTCTTTCTTTCTTTCTTTCTTTCTTTCTTTCTTTCTTTCTATCTATCTCTCTTTTCACGTTCTCTCTCCCTTCTTTCTCTGTTATTCCTCCTTCCTCCCCTTCATTTACCCCTCCATACTTTCCCTCCCTTTTTATCGAAGAAAACGCCCTCCAGTCCAGGTTGGGCGTGATTAAACTCGTCCAATGAAATGCCTTAAACTCTCATGACGTCACAGCGCTTATTCCTTCTTCTTCCCCTTCACTTCCCGCCTCCCTTGTTATCTTAGGAAACGCAATTTTTATGGCATGGGGTGCGTTTTGTAGGCCCCCTTCCCTTGAGAGAATGCGGTATTGTGGTGTATGGTGGATTGAGTGGTGACGGGCGAGTTTTTATGGTGAATGTGTAAATTGTAATGATTGAATAGGTCGTGAATTGGATTAGCTAGGTATAGTATAGTCAGTGTCGGCCCGCCTTAACCCCTCCCCATTTTAGGTCATGTGCCACAATTGTATTTTTTAATACAATAAATAGATTATCTTAGGAAACGCCCTTTAGTCAAGTGGTTTGATTATTCTCGTCCAATGAAATGCCTTACACTCCGATGACGTCACAGTGCTTTCCACTTCACTTCACATTGCGAGAAACAACACCAAGAAGAAGACATCATATTTTTTGCTTTCCCAAATTTGAAGAAAAACTAATTTCACTCAAGTGAAATCTGAACGAAATCAAATGTAAGTCAGAATTTTCGTATCGATTTCCAAATAATCGAAATTTCCGAAATGTTTTCATCAAAACAACGAGAATTCCTACTATTTTTAACTGAACTCATATTTAGAGACAAAGTTTTTCTAAATTTCCTTTTATTTTTTCAATTCATACAATTTTACATTAAATGTCTGATCCGGATTCTGTGGTAAAATAAATTCGTTTTTAGTTAATATTTCTGATAAAGTCTTTCCAATGATATCAGAAAGATTAAAGATGACGTTTATTTATGTTTATTTATGTCGTATGCTTATTTCTTTCCTTTAATCATCGAATTTGTTTTTCTTTTGCTTTCTTCCTCCTTTATTTCGTTTGTAGACAATTTGTAATATTTCTGAAATCTTAATTCACTTCTTGGCACTACTTAAATATATTGGTCCATTTGTAATAAAAAAAGTGAACATTTTGGGGAGGAATTATTTTTTGTACATTAAAATTCATTGGATTTTATTCAAGCGACGACGACATTTTTCAGAATCGAAAAATGATTCATTACTTTTCCATTTATAAAGTGAGGGTCTTGTTCATAATATCAATATTGTGTAAAATCGATCCCTGACTTTGGAAGAATTATTGAATTTATTTGTTATTTACAAACGTTATGTTTGAAACTCGTCCTTCATCAAAGATATCTGCATATTTTTCGCTACATTTTTGTGGGGGTGGGGATGGCAATTCACAGATGAGGAATAATTTTTTTTATCTTAAATGAAGAATAAACATATGAAGACTTTGATTAATTTATGTAACTTTTTTCAGACAAAAAATTATCTTTCTTTTTTCTTCTTTAAACACAGTTTTTGTAATAAAATAAATATTTAAAAATGTCTAATGTGTAAAAGTCAGAGATCGATTTTGCACTTTATCGATATTATAAACAGGACCCTCTTTTTTCTGACAGTCGCTTAAGAGTCTAATAAATGCTAATCTACAAAAATACTTCACAGCCCCTCACCCGCCCAAAAATGACTCAATGAGTGGACCATTTTATTTAAATGGGTTCAATTTTGTCATAAAAATAAAGAATCATTTCGTAAGCAGACGATAAAAAGTCGCCATTTTGGAATTTCTTAAATCGTGTCCGGTGAAAGTAACACTAAAGCAATTTAATTAACATCTGAATGTTGAAAATGATTGTGAAGACAGAAAATTGGAGCTTTTCTCTCTCTGTTTCTTTTACCCTTTCTTCCCTTCCCTTTTCTCGTATTGGTCTCTCTCTCTCTCTCTCTCTCCTCTCACTTCTGCATCGATAACCACTCTCTACTTTGTTTCTTTCGATTTCTCTCACTTTTCACTCACTCTGACACACCCTATATTTCCTTCTCTCACTCTCTCTATGTATTTTATTTTTCTCTCTCACTCTCACTATTCCCCTTTCCTCACTCTCTCATATTTCATTATCTTTTCTCTTAACCCCCTCCCGCCTTTATTTATTTGTGATTTTAGAAGAAAATTACAATTTTTCAGGAAATCGATTTGTTTTTCTTGTAAAATCCAAAAAATTCAAGTCACTTTATTTTCGTTTTTAGAAATCGACTTTTTATGGTTTTGAACTTTGACCTTTTTTTTTATTTTTCTAAAAAGATATTTTTGTCTTTGCAGTTTCAGATTTCATTTTTCCTGAAAGAAATCTACAAATGGCTTCATCGTCTTTGAGGAATGAGATAAATGAAGCGAAAAAGCGCCTCGTCGTCTTGCAGGAAGATGTCTAAGATTTCGAAAAGCGGCTCCATCAAGGGATTGAACGGACGAAGAAATCGATTGAACAATTATCAATAGATTGTGAATTGAATTGTTCAAAAGTCTGTCAGGAATTTGATGCGTTTATGGAAAAGGCGCGGATGAAGGCCGAAGAACTGTGCGAACAAATGAGACGAAAGATGACCGAAAAACAGAGCAAATGGCGCCAATCCCTCGAAGAGAAAGAAGAGCTTTTGGAGGAGGCGGAAAAATGGCTCATCGATTTGCGCCATTTGTTAGGCCACGGCAACGTCGACGAGGACATTGTTTGTGGTATAGAACCGCTGAGAGCGAAGCGTTCATGGTGGCACCACAAATCGTTTGCTCCTGTTGAGGAAGGTCATTTTGTGGTGACCTTTCCAGAATGGTGCCAGAGATCATTGGACCAACTTCAAAAAGAAATGGTCGACTTCAGTGTAGAGAGATGGCCCCCAAGGGAATTGGAACTTCAAAGCGAATTCCGCCTTCAGGATTCGAACCTGGGGTCGATTCATTCGATTCTCATCAGCGACGAAGACGGTCACGTGTTTGTTGTTGATGGACGCGATAAATCGATCAAGGAATTCGGCGAGACTAGGGAAGTCGTCGACCAATGTCTCCTGATGGGTAAAGGAGAGATATTCTTACCTTAGAACATTTGTTGTCTTTCAAAAGACATTTTCGTTGTTTGTGTTTCTTTGTGGTTGCCTGGGTCGAGGGGAGGGAGACTTTCGTGGTTGTTTCCGATTATGTCGCCGGGGAGGGGAAGACTTTTGTTTTGGGCGCAAAAAAAAGTCCACCATTTTTAGAAAAAATAAAAAACAGAAAATCTTTTTTCTTTGTGTCAAATGGACGAACAAATTTTCGTTTGTGATTCGCATTTTGAAGAAATTTTTTTTTTTCTTTTTTTCTAAAGTAGGAAAGAAAATAAAAACAGTGAAAGTTGAGAAATCTCTGGGTTCAGTTTCTCATTCTCGCTCTTTCCTTTGTGCTGATCCTACATCCGGGAATTTGTCGGGGACATGGGAAGGAATGATAAAGACACAGCTAAAATCATAATTCACGTTTACAAGGTAACAGATTAATTTACTTCTACTAGACAGGGGTGTTTGCGTGTTCATTATGTCTGTATTTTGATGTATCCGTTATTAGTTACGTTTTGGTAGGGGTAGGGATGTATTCTTCAATGAAATCTGACATCCGTTAAATGCATGTCGTCTGGATTTATTTATATGCATGACGTCTGGATTTATATATATATATATATATATATATATATATATATATATATATATATATATATATATATATATGAATGAATGTTTAAGTTTTCTACACGTATTTGAAGTGTGCCTCTATTTTACACAGACAAACACATTGTGCATTTAGGCAACAAATGTTCATATATTATTAAATACAACAGACATTATGGGTTGATTAATTTTAATGATCGACTTTTCCAAATGACAAATAATTCTTCAAAGACAAGGAAGGAATTCCGTCAGAAATTGTCCAAAGTTCAGATTGGAAGAAAAATAAGAGAAATATGGTTCAAATGTTTCAACTTTGATAAGTCATCATCAGGATAGGTAGAAAGAAATGGTGAATTTCATAGAACTGGTGAGTGTTGTGACGTGTGTAAAGAGTCTTATGATGGAGGTGACGTACGTGATGTCCGTGTGTCTGTTGATAAATACATTTCAGGAGGCGGCGGCATCTTAAATTATTATTGCTTTTTATTTAGAGACATCGGAGATTTTGTTGTAAGAGTTTTTTCTTTCTTTCAAGGATCATAAGTTTGTTTTGACTTTTCCAGGATCTTCAATAATTATAATAAATGTATTATAATAAAAATTTATAATAAAAATATTAAAAATGATTTTTAGGAATTAAATGAATTCTGGTATAAAATATCGTAACATTGGTATAATGAGTGACGTGAAGGGAAACAAATAGGGCCTTTGAAGGGAAACATATAGGGCCTTTGAAGGGAAATATATAGGGCCTTTGAAGTGAAACATATAAGGTCTTCAAAGGGATACATATAAGGTCTTCAAAGGGATACATATAAGGCCTTTGAAGGGAAACATATAAGGCATTTCAAGAGAAACATATAAGGCCTTTGAAGTGAAATATATAAAGCCTTTGAAAGGAAACATATAAGGCCTAATACTGAGAATTATGAGAAAGGATGACATTTTAAATATGCAAAAAGAAATGAAATATTATATAAACATTTTATTCAAATTAAATATAAAATAATTTTTCTTCAGCTTATAGGTGTCATTGACATCATAGCAGCAGAAACTAGCCGCGTGTGAGATAAAAGTTTACTTGACAGGAAATAAAACGTACAGAAATAGCAGAAAAGCCTGGTAAATTTTATGTTAATTTGATGCAATTCATTTATGCTTTTTTGTGTGAATTGGTATATATTTTTTAGGTTACAATTGTTTTATGGCACATGTGATAAAAGGGAGAAGTCACTCTGTATGATTAGACGTGATATCACAGAGAGAAGTCAGACACGTGTTGTCCGTACCAAGGTTAGTGGCAAAGAGATTGAATTTAACGACTTTTGGCGGAATGTCCATATTTCCAAAAGGAACAGTTTTTGTTGCATGCTGGGAGAGTATTTTTATTATTTTTATATTTCATTTAATTTGTTTTAAAAAGAGTTAAAATATAAATGTTTTATTTTATTTATAATTTTCATTATTATTATTTTTTTTTTTTTTTTTTTTATCTATTTATAATAATAATGTCCCTACCAACTGTTTGTTTGGATGCCCTCCCGATATAGATGCTCGGGGGCCATCGTATCTTCTGACCACCAACACTTCTTCACGCTACTGGTGCCAGTGGAGGACTAATGAGATATTGCCAGTGTTTTCTGCTCTTTTGATTTGTGCTAAAATTATGGTAATCATAATAACAATGGCGCCTCCTTTGTCTTCTATTTTGATGACGATCGAATTGGCTTGACTGGTCGCCTTTAGGATTGGATATGTAAAATTTATGATGGCGGCCTTTCAATCGTTGATTACCTGCCAATACAGATATTTTCTCAACACAGTCAACGTTTGCACAAAGCTTTAGAATATTTTGTATTTTTTTTTATATTTTTATATTGGGAATTTTTTTTTTTTTATTATAACTTGAAGAAGACTGACATACAGTCGAAATATTGTTGAATATTTTTATACACTGCTTTTTTTTTCTAAATTGCGCCATTCTCTTTGTTTCCATTGTTATTATTATTAATAATATTATTTGTTTCTCATTTTGCAAACAATTTGGGATTTTTTACATTTATTATTATTACTATTACTATTATTATTATTGTTTGTGATTATGTCTCCTGTTTTTTTATTATGTAGAGTCGGGTCCAAACTATCGTCCTTTGGTTCTGTAGGGGAATTTCATTGACAGCACTTTATTTAATATATGGGATGTTCCTAGTAGGGCGACTTTTTGGGCGAGTTGTATGTTTATACTACCTGGGACACTCTTAGTAAAATTTTCCATTCCTTTTCTCACGAGGCCCAGAGATCTAATTACTATTGGTACGACAGTCTCAGTCTTCATTCCACACATACTATTAATCTCGCTCTCTAGGTTCTTGTATTTGGATAATTTCTTGATAATTTTTATGGACATGTTTCTCTCAGATCAAAAAGTCAATAAGTATAAACTTCCTAGATTTCTTGTCTTTTATAATAATATCAGGTCTATTGGCTTTTATTTCCCTGCCAGTTTGCATTGGCATGTCCCAGAGGATAGTTATTTGGAGGGGGGGGCAACTGTGTCTGGTTGGTGGACATACCATCTTTCAGTGATTTCGATTTTCTGCTTCTTGCATATCTTTCAGTGTACATATGTTGCTACCTTGTTATGTCCGGATATATTCATTTCTTGCCAGTTCCGGACATCCTGAGATAATATGGAAGACTGTTTCATCATATTTTCCGCAGATCCTTCATTTCAGATTAGTTCCATCCTTGATTATGTGATTGTGATAGGATCTGGTTGCGAGGCTGTGGTCCTGAGATGCAATAATTAAACCTTCTGTCTCAGTTATCATCCCGGGGTTCACCTCAACCAATGATGTGTTTTCTGTTGATCCACGTCTGTTTCTTTCTTTCTTTTTATGTATTTCTAATCCAACGCCTTTTCTTCTTCCCAGTTTTTTGTTGTCATTTCATTTGGCCAAATTGTTTTGTCTTCTGCTTTACACATTTTGCATAGATTGTATTTGATTCGCTTTTTGATGGTAGGATTCCAGTTCTATTAAATTGTTTCTCTAAGGGAGCATCTTTTTTGTTGATGGAATGGATTTAGTGTTTTACTATTTGTAGGAGGGGGTCCCAATTCGATTTTATGAGGCAGGCTCGCAATTCGATTGTTGTAGTTTTTACAATTAATTCAAGTTGGATTTGACTTCGACCTCCTAAGCCTCTTGGTAAATACAAACCATCAACATCAGATTTCGGGTAGTGCAGCCTCAGTTGGGTTCTGATTCCGGGTGGTGAATCCTCATTTGGGTTCTGATTCCGGGTGGTGCATCCTCATTGGGGCTCTGATTTCGGGAAGTGCATCCTCATTTGGGTTCTGATTTCGGGTGGTGCATCATTTGATTCTCATTCATTTTACAAACAATTTAGAATTATTTATATCATCATTATTATGTATAACGATGCTGGTTCGAACTTGGCTGACTATGGCCCTTCACAGCTTCACTTTTAATGTCTTCATTGCAAATTGTCGTGTCTGTTCTTTAGAAATGGAATTGTTTCTCTGTTTCCTTTTGCACAGTTTTGAATTCAGACTTGTCCTTCTTCTAGATTGGTTGCCAATGAAATCTTCAAAGCCTAACATAAGATTCTTTTTAATCCCATATCTCAA